TAAAAATCTGCCTTTTTATCAAAAAGTTATTACCAGGGTGCCTTTGAACTAATTATATTGAATGATTGGGACTGAATTAACGAGTGCATACACATAAAAGATTGTAGCCTTTTTATACCCGAGCGCACTTGTGCACAAGGGTATTATAACTTTGTTCACATAACGGTTGTTTGTAACAGGCAAAACGAATCGAGATAGATATAGACAAATGTATACATAAATGATCAGAATGAAAAGAGAAATCGATTAAGCGATATCTTAACGAAACTTGGTATGTGCACTTCCTTCGGGCGTAGGACGGATGGTATTGAAAATGGGCAAAATCGGACAATAACCACGCCTACTTCCCATATAACGGTAATTTTCAGAAATACGAAAACTGCGATATTTTAGTAACTACTGAAGATTATTCACTCAAAATTGATATTTACAATAACTTTTAGAAGAAAAATAAGAATATTATACATTTTTGGAAAATGGGCGTAGCCACGCCCACTTATGGATACATGTGTATATCTTGGTAACCGCTAAACCACTTTCTTCCACACTTGGCACAGTTGTTAGTCTTGCTTTAGCATACCAAATGGCCGAAAATTTTTAAAATCGGACAATAACCACGCCTACCTACCATATAACGGTAATTTGGAGAAATACGAAATCTTCGATAAATAAAAAAATATTAAAGCTAATTTACTCAAAATTGATGCTTGCAACAATTCTTTACCAAGAAATACGTTTATGATAAAATTTTATTATTTTTTATTTTATGATCACATATATGTATCTCGGTAACCGTTCTACGAATTTGTACCAAACTCGGTATGATTATTGTGCTTGCCACATAGAAGCAAAACGTTGAAAGTTATTGGAATCAGATTCAAATTACGACCACTTTTCATATAACGGCAAATTTCAGAAATGCTTGAAACTTCAATATTTCGAAATTTAAGGACGCTAATTTTCTCAAAATTGATACACACCGGCTTACCGTGTAGCGGTAGCTTTCGCAAAGGTGAAAATCATATACTTAGTACCTGCGCCGTGTATTTAATGTTCGGCTCCGCCCGAACTTAGACTTTCTTACTTGTTAATACTCATTTAGTGTTAAACCTTTTTTGATTTGGCATTCGTTTTTTTCAATCTTGCTATGAATATGTTGATGTGTGAATTCATAACTGCTTTGAGTGAATGGAACTTTTAAATATTATAAACCTCAATCTTAAACGAGGAATAAGTAATTAAAGTTGAATAGAAAATAATTGTTGATTTAAAATTGAAAATGATTTCACACTTACACAGCTCTGCTAATGGTTATAGTTTTGTTTGTTTGTATATATCACGGTACCCTGGAAACAATTTCAACCCTAAAGTTGCTTCCCCTCGCCAATTGCTGTTGCTACTATTTCGGGGGACCTCACTGAACATTTTCCAAAAAAAGAGCTAAATCCGTCGGGCGCTTTTCTTCTATGGTAACTTTTACTAATTCAAATATTACACAGGCCAACAAAATTTGGAAAAAATTTTGCTTCCTAAAATGTTAAAACTGTTTCTGATAGATTCTTTTGTGCTGATTACGAATCTGTATGTATAAAGTTTCCATCATCTTTAGGTTTTGAGAAAAACGTGGTCAAAGTATCAAAAAATCACGTTTTTTGCAATATTTGAGAAGCTCTAGCAAAAAAACATAAGGTGATAGAACCTTCAACTTGGACTTAGATTAAGGCTAGGACTCTCAACTACTATCCCTGAAAAAAACCATTTGTTCACCTTGACTTGGTGGTCACTTATAGTCATTTTTTGAATAGCAAAAACTGATTTTGCCGAAGTGGCTTTCGAGGCCCAGCAATTATGGCGGCCCTATCGGAGTATGCATATTTTAGTGCCAATGTTTGGTTTCTCTAAGTTCTTAAGCTTTTTAAAATAACTCAATACGTGAAACCACAGATACATTTTTAACTAGGCAAGTATGTATATATCAATCCTTACCTCGCCATAACCGGTGACTTGTAGATGTCGTTTCGTCAGGGGCGCCTGCTCACCGTGCGAGTGTAAATTTCTCTTCGTGGCGACGTGCTCGAGTCTTATAAGATCTCCGTTCATAACATATTTTACTTCAGCAAATGAGTCTCTATTGTATGGCTTTATGAGCCATTTATTGTTGTCATCTTTATGCGTATATGTTGTGATCTGTTAATAAGAGAAACTCGTAAAATTGTAGTTAGTTTTTTAATCGGTGCTCCTGATATCAAACAAGAGAAAAATTCGACAGCAGAAATTGCATACATATCGCACACGATTTTCAAAAGTGACACAACTCAAAATTTATCATTTTTGAAATTACGCGCTAAAAATGCCCACACAGCTTTTATTTACCTTTCAGCAAAAGCTGCAGGCCGCCTACGCAAAAAAAAAGTTGGACGCACAAATACTTTTTGATGTGTATACATCTTTGGTGTCGGTAGGGGTAAAATTTGCGAAGCTGTAACGCATAGTCCAACAGAAAATTTCGTAGGACTTACCATGTGTATTGCAGCAGAAAATTTTTAACTTCCTACTTGCTATTGCAAATGGTTGCATACATTTAGGCATATGCAGAGTAAGAGGAAATGCGGTATAAGATTATTACTTCCGATTATGCAAACTCTGCGCATGCATAGGGCATTGTACATATAGTTTTTTTTATTTATTTATTTCTTTATTTGTCTATGACATTTACAATTCTTACAGACTACAAAATGAAAAACAGGCAATAATAAAATTATTAAGGGTACATTTACATGGATAACTTGATATGAAACTCTCTCATTTTTTCACACCCAGGAACTCGTTTTCGTACTTGGCAGCACTGCCAATCCCTGGGCAGATAAACAGCTGACACGCGAAGTGGCATGCTACCACTAGATGTGTGGAAAATGCATCACATGGAATTCAGTGGATTTTTTCTTCCCGCATTTTTTAATATTACTATAAAACACTATTTGTAACTAAACGCGATTTTACTGGCAATATAAACACTGAAATATAAAATAGATATGAAAAATATTGCAACTTTTGTTCGTTGTGTTTAATCAAAAGTTTCTCCATAAATTTCTCTATAAATGCCCATACATGTTTTCTTCACAGTGGCTCTACTGGAGAATGTTATAAAAAATACACATTTTGACAGCGCTCTCACGAGAAAAAAGACTTTCATATCTAGTTATCCATAATGTGACCAACTATTGCATATCGCAAAGAAGTACAGCTTAGGTTGGGTTAATTTAACGCCGCGAGCCGATTACGAAACACGGTGGAGAGAATACAGAGGTGGCGCCGATGACGATACCGCTACTCGGCTCTCAGTGATTTTGACAGAATCAGCTGTTTTGGCGACGTCATAGTAGAGAAGACAGCAGTAGTGATGTGCTGAGTCAATACTTTTAAGTACCCAATACTCTCGATACTCGGTACCGAAACATTTAGGTTTTGAATAAAAGCGCACATAGGCCAAAAATATGGAAAAAACGCCTAACAAAACCCGAATGTAAGAGCCAATAGAGCTTTTTTACTGATTCAAATGAAAGATGTATATATGTCGGTTCGATGCCATAATACAGAGAAACCCTTACTTGTTTGAAGCATTTTTGTTCCAGCTGAATCGGACGATATCATTTTTGTAGGCCTGGGACAGATTCTGTAACCAGTTAACGACAATTTTCGAATCGGTATCGTTTTTGTCGACGTTTGATATCAAATATTTCTAAGTCAACAAGGGCGATATCGATCCGAAACTTGTTGCTAACTGGCTACAGAATCTCTCCCCTGAAAGGCTTCTTCATCCGTCAAAGTATTTTTCTTGAACCTTGGATCGACTAAGGTTAAAACTGATAAAATAATATTTTTCTGTGGCGATAAGTACAAGTGTTTTAGCCGATATCATATAAATTAGTAATGAAAGTTTTTTCTAAACCTGAAATGCATATAATGGCGAGGGTTTAATGTAAATAATCGGTATCGGATACCGAAATCTTTTTTAAGTATTGGGTACCGAGTATTGGGCACAATTCAGCACATCACTAGTCGCCCTCATTCTCGCCGCTCTCAGTTGTCAACTCTACGATGACGTCACGCTAAAATTACTCTCACGAATTCTGCTGCAATCGGCGCAATCTTGTATTCTATCATTCTTGATTACGAAATTTTGAATGCGGCTAATTTCGGTCCATGAGAGCTGTTCAGAAGTGCGAGCCAAAATGCTTCGGTATTAGCCTCGCGAAGGTTGGACAGTCTAAAAGAAAGTGTGGAGATGATGCCACTTCATCTTCCTCTTGACCATGGTTGCCACTCGCCAACATTTTTACCAAAAGTTACCAAATCTTCACTACCAAAATCTTCACTTCGTCACTGAGAAAATAATATACTGACTTAAACTGCTATATTTCACAACAAATGTGTATATGGGCAAATCTAAAAAATAGGTACACTTTCAAACAAAAAATTTTAATTTTTAAATTTGTGAGCACACCTATGTTTTATATATCATTTTATTCGTAATCTCTTAATAAATATATTAATATAAGTGTAATTCATATTCATCAAGTGCTTCAAAAGTTAGACGAGGAATAAGCATGAAATAGAAAACAAAAGAATAAGCTGGGTTGAAATTACGCTGTTCAAGTTGTAAGCTTTGAGGAAAGATTTTGAAAGTTGAACTCACTTAATTGGGATGTTCTAAATTCAATGGCATGCCCTCTTTTACCAGATTGGCTCCGGTTTTCGAGATAACGGTACTTGAAAATTTGATTAAATTTTAACTATTTTATAAATAACTCCCTCAATTTTGAAGTTATTTTACTAAAACTTTGCACATAACAGTTTTTTAATATTACCTTAATTATTCCTTAAAATTATCGAAATAGGTTAACATTAACATATAGCTCCAATACAACTGATTACTCAGATATGTGTTTTTGCGCAATAACTCTAACTTCATATCTGAATAATATTTTGTATGCGTGCTATATGTTAAATTGAACCTATACTAAATTTTAACCTGTTTAATTGAAGGAGTTATAACGCAAAACAACGTCTCAGATCAATCAGTTGTATGGAAGCTATATGTTTTAGTGAACCGATTTCGATGATTTTATGGAATAGTTAAGGTAATATTAAAAAAACGGTTATGTGCAAAATTTTAGTAAAATATCTTCAAAACCCAGGGACTTTTTTTTATAAAATAGTTAAAATTTAAGGAAAGTTTCAAGTACCGCTATCTCGAGCCAATAGGGTAAAACTTAGGACGCCATTGAATTCAGAAGGCTCCAATTAAGTAAGAGCAACTATCAGAACATTTGTCGAAAAAAAGTTCCTTTGATACCACTCTCGAAATATTCTGACTAAAAGAAGTAGCATCATTAAGAGTAGTAAATCAGGGTTTTTACACACTTCTAGAGATAAATTTTTAGAAGCATTTTACAGGTATATATAATTTTATAAGGACTAGCAGTTATAAAAAGATTTAGATCGTTTCGACGTGTTTTCCAAATGTGGATTTAATTAAAGTGTTTTTGGAATAAAAATTACGCTCAAGATCGCAGAATATTTTATCTTTAAAAGTTGGTTTATTCTGAAAGCACAGCTCTTGCTCAGGTATGAAATTATTTGTAATTGTTTGTAGTATACAATACATACTTAAAAAGTTCTTAAACTTAAATGCTTCAAAAACTATACGCGATAAACCGAAAATTTTGAAAATTGTGAAATGTGGAATTACAGACTTTGAGTTACTTGCCATTTCCTTATTTTTTAATGCACAATTTTCTTACCTACTACATTTGAAGTGTACACATAAGTACTAATTGCACATACAATTTCAAATCAGTATATGGTGTGCTTCAAAAGTTATGGCATAATTAATTTTTCACCTCTTAAAAATTACATAAAAAATTCACTTGTTTTCATTATTATTTTTTATTTAAACACCTATAATTCAAAAGTTATGCGGCAAATTGATCCAAATTTTTTTTGAGGCTTCAAGTATACGTCAATTAATTATATCCAAAAGCAACCAGCTTGATATAGTTTCCAACAGTGAAAATAAAGCTAAAAAACACCAAGGTTACCTGTTTTTTAGATTTGCCCATATACTTTCCGTTTCTGTGACTTAATAAATTCCATATTTTTATAATTTGTCAATTTTTGATTATTAATCAAGAACCCCCAGTTCTAGCACAGAAGTTTAAATCTATTTTCTTGATAAATTATCAAGATTGAAAACGCTATTGACAATTATAATAATTTTTTTTTATTAGAAAATATTTTTCTTACAATTAATTGCTGCATGTGCCGTTATTTTCATTTTCGTTATTGGTGTTTCCGACAGGGTAGGAGTATGATGTAATGTGGAGCGATTTTCCATCATCCCTTGTCAAATTTGGTTTGGAGACAAACCGGTTTCGACGTTGTGCCAATTACAGTGTAATTTTTCGTTCGGAATGTGCCGATATTTGCGACTCACGGAATAGTGGCACCGGCACACAAAAACAAGTTGCGGGTGCTTTTAACCGTCCGTTTGACTCGTACAAAATTCCGAGTAAATTGCGAAAATTGCAAATTTTTTTGCTATTTTTTCGCTTTTTCCTAATTTAGTGTACGTGTCAAACGGACCTCAGATTTGAATTCAGTGGGTCGAAATACATGTCGGTAGGTGGGTCTAGTAAAAAGCACGCGACATTTTTTTTGTGCCGGAATAATCAAAACGATTTATGGACCTTACCGAAAATTGCCAGATGGCCACTATTAAAATGTGAGATGGTAGAATTCAAAATTTATCGCAAAAACTCGAAAGTTTCTCTTAGCCTAATAGCAGTTCGCGCTGCGACAATTCTGTCTGAAATATCCCCAGCGTCGTGTTCAACATATCGTCGCTGCGCCAACAAAAACAATTATGTGTTTTTAAATAACTTTTCAGGAGAGCAAAAAACTGATTCCTGGTGCCAATAGGCAATATTTTGCAAATGTCGTATTTGATTGATCGTTATTGATTTATGAAAAAAATCAAGTTTTTTGACCAATTACGACATGAACAACATTTGCGCTTTAAGGCACATAGCTGTTTTTATACACGAATTAAATTTGCTTTTGGCGGTATGGAATCGTATGCAATTTGAACATAATACTGCCGTTATGCCTAGATGCAATGTACAATGTT